TTAATGACGTTATAAAATAAATTACTGTATACATGCGTATGATATTTTTTAAATTTACAATTAATTTAAGATATTGAAATCTCAGTGGGTGGCTAATGGGTTAGAGTGTCTATTTTATTTGTAAATGGCTCTGGATTCGCTCCGTGGTCATGCCAGAAAGCATGACTTCTATCCGATCTCCCTCCGTGACACGTTTCAAAATTGTTAGGTTACTATATTTTACAACAATTTAAAACGATGTATTAAGCATGGATATTATGTAATATAAGGTAAGTGAAATTATTATACAAAATAAATGTGTCAGGCATGTTTTGAGAAATCCCTTTTCAGTGGCATTTCTCCGTAGGGTTGGACTATGAATAAAACATTATGATTATAAGAATGGACTAGCAGGCAGCCGCTATCAGTCTTGTAATACCGGCTTTTAGTATTATTTCTCTTTGCTTCATTGGTTATTTTATTACTGTACTGGTAAGCATAAATTGATAATGTTAGAATATCGAAGGGGAAATTCATAAATAAAAATAATTAATTATGGTGATATTTAAATATTAGTGTATTAGTGTTTGTATGTATTGTTGTATATTAGTGTTAAATGTAAGTATGATGATTGGTAGAGCAACGCTGCAGCGAATTATGACTGCATCACGATAGAGACGCCTCGATAGTGGAAAGTTCAGGTGCAGCATTATGCTGTTGTGTTTCGTTATACTAACGTTACTTCAAGCTGTGATACCAACACTCTAATATACACGCACTTGAGTAGAATCTTGAGGTTATGATCTTATTAATAAACATATCTCAAGATGCGGTTCATGTTTACGATGTCAGCTGAGTGTCACACTGATTAATAAACGAAACTCTACTCTCAAGTGTGTGTGATGCAAAAATCTGAGTGCGGACAGTCCGTGACTTAAGATCGTGATTGTTGACATATGTAGCTATTGAAAATATTTTAAGAGAAATTAATTATTACGACGAAATTGAGTACAATGACGATATTTTACGGCCTTCGCGACATTGCTTACCAAAATTTATATAAGGGATTCCTCCGATTCTTTTAAGTTACAATGTGAACATTTTAAAAAACGATACAGATTTGGTCAAGAATCAGTAATATATATTATAACATTATTAAAAGACTCATTGTTGAAATACAGTAACAGAGGTTTTCCAATTTCACTAGAAATAGCCGTCTTATTAACTTTAAATTTTTTGCCACAGCATTATTTCAGTTATGTACATATTGTATATTTATTTAAGTAGGTATAATTTATTTCATTATTTAAATTAATATAATGTATTAAATTTCAAAGTAGGTAGTGGATGCCCACGATTTGTACAATTTGTAAGATTAAATAAATGTCATGAGCATGTACCTAATGCTGCTATGGAAATTCAGATTATTAGTTTGATATTTAAAAAGTGATATTTTTAGTAATATAATTACCTACCTGGCTAGATGCGTATGGACGAGCGTTGTTTTCTACAGTTATTTTGCTCCAGGCTTCATTTTTAATACGTAGTGACATGCCATCGGTCTCCTTATTTTCTACCGTAGCCCTATATTTTTTTTTAATTCGCAGAAAGCATTTTTTCTCAATCTGAGTAAATACATGCGTCTTGTTTTCCATTTTTTGTAAATTGAATTTCCCGCGAGATCAAAGTTAAGTAATCAAGATGTTTTCAAGTCTCAAATCTGATAAGTCAGTTTTATATTTGACACTGGCGCTGTGTCGCTTTAATGCGTCAGATTATTGGTACATATTGAATTAAGTTATAATCATTTAGTTCGTATATAGAAATACATACATAATAGTTTTAACAATTTAAGGTTTTCGAATGTAGAAAACAACTTTATAACGTGATACAGCTCTATTTCTTTAAATTTTATCAAAATTAAAATATTCAATAAATCTCATGATATAGCAAAAACGAAACGTGACAAATGATATTCTAACCTTCGGTGTATGTGGCGTAATAGATCACGAGATCAAGCCCTCAAGTCACAGAACAGTATTCCTAAGTACAGCATTTAGAGATACTGTTTTTATGTTTATTAACGATCTTAAGATGCCGATATCGTAATGAGGGCGTATCAAATGATTACACACTTGAGTTCGTCGTTGAGTAACGTTTATTAATTAATACGGGACATAGTAATCTATGGCACTCTCATACTATGTTCATTTATTTTGTCATCATTGTTTGCATACAACAGCCTTTACCATTATATTTACTTAGCGTTATTGCTTTCCTGACCTTACTGGTCATGTCATTTACATATTAAGAATGGGTATTGAGCCAGAAAATTATAGGTTACTATGAATTACGAAATCACCAAACATTGCACACGCAAATTAAGTTTGAACGCTAATGATTATAATTGATAACTAATAATAATATATTGATACTTCAACTTATGCGTTAGATTTTAAGCGATTTAATTCCGTCCTGTATGGTGCAGAAGTGCGGTGGTATTGTTCTTCAAGAAAGGCGACAAGACTCCCTTGAAGAACTTCAGACCAATTTCGCTTCTGAGCCGCGTCTTTGTGCTGTTTTCGAGAGTCATTACGAATCGTCTCACGCGCAGACTCGACGACTTCCAGCCTCCCGAACAAGCCGGTTTCCGAAAAGGCTTTAGTACCATAGACATACCCTTTGGCAGATTGTACAGAAGACCGAGGAATATAACCTGCCACTATGTTTTGCATATGTGGACTATGAAAAAGTCTTTGATTCCGTCGAAATTTGGGCGGTGCTGCAGTCCCTTCAGGCTGTCGGTGTTTTATACTTTATTTGTACAGAAGGGCTACGATGGCTATCCGAGTACAGAACCAAAGTACGAAACCTATCCAACTGCAGAGAGGTGTAAGACAGGGTGACGTCGTATCCCCGAAACTCTTCACCGCTGCATTCGAAGATGTTTTCAAGCTACTGGACTGGAAAGTATACGGTATTAACGTCAATGGCGAGTACATCACTCACCTTCGATTTGCCGACGATATAGTCCTTATGGCAGAATCGCTGGAAGACCTAAGCACTATGCTCAAGGACATCAATAGTGCCTCCCAACGGATATGTTTTAAGATGAATATGAAAAAAACAAAGATCATGTGTAACTTCCATGTCAAACCTATGCCGCTAGTAGTTGGGAGCACTAAGCTCGAAGTTGTTGACGCGTATGTTTAACAGGGACAAATAGTCCGACTAGGTAAGTCCAACTTCCACCAAGAGGTCAATCCACGGATTCAACTCGGCTGGGCAGCGTTCGAGAAATTACGACACATCTTCTTATCAGGTTTACCTCTAAACTTGCAAACGAAACTGTACAACCAGTGCGTGTCGCCAATGATGACTTATGGATCTGAGACGTGGTCCTTTACTGCTGACCGTATGAGGAAGCTCAAGATCGCTCAACGGGCTATGGGGATAGGGTTACCAGATGAAAAAATCAAAAGTCCGGAGAAAAGGCCTGATTTCCCGTGAAAAATCCTAAGATTTTTTCAGTTTGAGAAATTTCTCTCCAACGTACTTAAAAATTTAAAAAAAAAGTCAACATTATAGGTAGTTGCATCGTTCTTATGACAGCAGTGTCGCACACTCACTCAGTTCCACCCCATTGCGACGATTGGACTGTTTTAACCATACTCAACTCAAGTAAATCATCATCAATCAATCTCAATTTAAAGTGAAATATATGCTTTAACCGTTTTCAAGAAAATAATAGGTATTTCACAATTACCAAAGACAATGCTTATTTGTCAAGATATATTTGCAATTACAGCCCAGAATGCAAACGTAGAAAGATTTTTGTCTGTTATGGGGGCTCAATGGTCGAATGAAAGAAACCGACACACGGTGTCTTCAGTTCGAGCTATACTTTTAATTCAATATACATAATTGGAAGAGTTTAACATGTGGGCATTATATTATAAATCAATACTTAAAGAAAAAAAACTTTACTTAAAAAGATATCTTCACATATTAAATATGATAAGACTGTTTAAGTACCTACTTGGATAAATAAAATTTGATTTTTAATTGTGCAATTATTACCAAAGGAAGATTATTTTTAGTTTGTATTGAAAATTCTAAAAATCCTGAGATTTCAGGAGATTTCCAAAATCCAGCCGCAACCCCGAGAAGAGTCCAAAAATCCTGATATCTCAGGACAAATCCTGAGATATGGTAACGCCGATATGGGTGGGCCATGCGCGCGATTTCTCTGCGTGATAAACTTAGAAATGAGGATATCCGCTGTAGAACCAGGGTAACCGACATAGCCCAACAGATTAGTAAGCTGAAGTGGCAATGGGCCGGCCATATGGCTCAAAGAACCGACAACCGATGAGAAAAAAGGTTCTCGAGTCGCAGCTTCGTATCGGTAGATGAAGTGTTGGGTGAACACCCACTAAATGGAGTGACGACCTGGTAAGACATGCAGAAAGCCGATGGATGCAGGTGGCTCAGGACTATTTTTTGTGGCATTCCTTGAGGGAGGCCTATGTTCAGCAGTGGACTTGTGAAGGGCTGTAATGATGATGAACCGTGCACATGCACGTGCGTGTTGGTGTTAGAAGCAAAGCCAGTCCGGATCATTACTGGAGCGTCGTCTTGGAATCGTTCCTCGTCTGTAGCCTGATGTTGAATGAAGGTGGAAACGGCCTCATTACGATCCACGCCACGCTTGTCTTCCACGTAATTGTACCACTTCAAACGTAATTCCTCTAAGTCGGCGGCCAAATCCTTTTCTTTTGTGCTTGGTTTTTGTGTCACTATTTCCGCTGCCTCAATGGGTCGTGTCGTTTTCATGATCTTGTCAGCTAACTCTGCCAGTTTGTCTAGTTGCGTAATCGAGGTTACAGCTAATACTGCTCTAACTGATGTAGGTAAATATTCCGTCCACATCATTCGGAGTGTTTCGTCGGGTAATTTTTCTTGCCAAATCCTTCATTTTTATTTCTAATTTCGATGGTTTTTGGTCACCTAATTCCATTTCAGAATAACCTCTGGAATTGTTTGTTCTCAGACTCTGCATAAACGATCATGAGCATGTTCTTCAGCATGTCATAGCACTTGGTTTCTGGAGGAGCTAGTAGGACGTCACTTGCCTGTTCCACATTGTATTTGGTGAGTTTGGTCACGAGTAGGTTGAACTGGTTTTCATCGGCCAAATTTGATTTGCAACAACGGCTTCAAATTGCACGAACCGGAGCCTGGGCTGGTCACTCCAGAACGTAGGTATCCTGGAGGTCAGGGATATTGTTGACATTTCCTCAATTTCTGTACAGTTGCTTTTAATTTGCACTGAATGTATTTAACGTTCACCAAATATTAATTAAATCGCCTACACCAATTCTTAAATGTAGGAGTCACGTGGGGGTCACCAGTGTGATTTAGCCCTTATTGTCGCCTATAGGTGTAGGTGCTAAATAATCCAAAGTCTATTTGTATAACACTGTATTTTTTCCACTCGGTAACCACTGCCTATTCGGACCGAGGCGAGGGGCTAACTGCCATCCCGGCGTTGAACCGTTGCACAGTATTACGATAATGTAACGTGATCCCTTACAATTCTATTATGTTTGTAACCAATTACTTCCCTCGCAATTATTACGATGTAATATTTTTTGTTACATTGGACTTAATTGAGTTTTGTAAAAATCCAATCTATGATTGGCAATTTGTGGTGGTACGCGCTCTTAAGAATATTAAGAAATATTCTTAAGAGCGCGTATAAAAGAAATAGACTATTAAGAAATAGTCATGTCTATCTCATCAGTATTTAACTTAATATTATATTATAGTGAAACTCATCACAGTGAGTGCCCCTGACTGATTTGTATACGTTAGTAATACAACCAACGCCATCTATTAATATAATAATAGTAATTATAGTTTTCTCATATCTGGGAACTGGTTCAAAGCATAACTGAAATTGTAATTAATAATTTCATTGGTGCCGGCTGGGATCCAACTTGGATTATACGAATACATACTATGAAATTTACTCGTAATAAAGAAATACTTTAAAAATATAAACACAAATAGAGAAAACTGAAACTATAAAATGAATTGAAAGAAAAAAAATACTTACCGACTTTGACAGTATCCCTGCGGCATACAATTGTAAAAAACACTACACATTCAAATAAAACTAGTTTTTACGGTTTATAACGCGTATATTAACTTATTTTATACACTCGACCTTTCGAACACTTTACAACATGGTCACGGAGGGTGGGGGGTGGGGGGGGGGGTTGACACACTGAGAATTTTGACGTCTCAATGTCATATTTAACCATGGCTACCTCCAGATTAAAATTACTAATTTTTAGTCCGATCTACGCAATATAAAGATATAAGGAGGACAAATATTATTAAAATGGTTATTCATATCTTAACGGCATGCAAATAATTCAAATATATATATAAAAGGCAGTTATTTCGATATTGCAGGCTAACACTTCAATTTGATTTGTGTGTATTAGGTATAATATATTAAATTATTATGACTAAAAATAAATTAGCATCATAAACAATGCTCATATGGAAGTCATGATTTTTTATAGCATTTACCCGTAACAACTTTTATAAAAACTATAAATCATGCACGGAATGTAGTAAGAACTTAATAAAAATAAATGTAAATAAGTAAATCTTACCTTATATGCTCTTGGTAATTGCCTGTCTCCAAACAAAGATAATGAACATAATATTTACTTGTTCTTGCTTTTATTTCTGTAACAGGTAAATTAAGTAAACTAAGAACAAGAACAATGTGATCTTACTAATATGCGATATTATATTATATCTTAAATATAAATTGTATTTTGTGCCTTAATGATTTCCTTTATAAATAATAATCTTGATGTACCTATTTGGGAAGTACTCATAAAACAAGTTTCATTCCAATAGAAGCAAATACAGTCTATAAAAAATTCTATCTAATACGATGGAAGTAAGAGCTCCAATTTAGAAGCGTACGCATCAGCCGCAAGTTCTATTAAATTACACTAGAACTACAATAAATCAGACGTATGCTGAGCAAAGAGCAGGTAAAATATTTTCTGTTTTTGGTGTCACAGAAAAAACTTAATGCCATAGTTACGGTAATGAAAGATCGTTTATTAATATATGACAAGTGATATTTAAGCTAGTCATTTCTGCTTGTCAGTGTTAACCTAGTAATATAATATTCAATTTCATCATATTCTTTACCTATATCTCCTGTCCCACAAGATTGTTACGTAACATCAGTAAGAGCTCTATGCCACGCAATAGTAGTAGTCCTGTAGTCCCGTGGGTGCCATGAGAGGCGTCTGTGGGAAACGCCATTAAAATCTAATGGGCACCGTTATGGCGGTATAAACAACATAAGCATTCCGCATAATAGGATTAATGTAGAATATATGGTAAAGAGAAGCAGTATCGAGGGCTTGAGAATTTTGGTTTTGAATTTTTTGGAAGAGATCGGAGTCCTACAGCGAATTATGACTGCATCACGATAGAGACGCCTCGATAGTGGAAAGTTCAGGTGCAGCATTATGCTGTTGTGTTTCGTTATACTAACGTTACTTCAAGCTGTGATACCAACACTCTAATATACACGCACTTGAGTAGAATCTTGAGGTTATGATCTTATTAATAAACATATCTCAAGATGCGGTTCATGTTTACGATGTCAGCTGAGTGTCACACTGATTAATAAACGAAACTCTACTCTCAAGTGTGTGTGATGCAAAAATCTGAGTGCGGACAGTCCGTGACTTAAGATCGTGATTGTTGACATATGTAGCTATTGAAAATATTTTAAGAGAAATTAATTATTACGACGAAATTGAGTACAATGACGATATTTTACGGCCTTCGCGACATTGCTTACCAAAATTTATATAAGGGATTCCTCCGATTCTTTTAAGTTACAATGTGAACATTTTAAAAAACGATACAGATTTGGTCAAGAATCAGTAATATATATTATAACATTATTAAAAGACTCATTGTTGAAATACAGTAACAGAGGTTTTCCAATTTCACTAGAAATAGCCGTCTTATTAACTTTAAATTTTTTGCCACAGCATTATTTCAGTTATGTACATATTGTATATTTATTTAAGTAGGTATAATTTATTTCATTATTTAAATTAATATAATGTATTAAATTTCAAAGTAGGTAGTGGATGCCCACGATTTGTACAATTTGTAAGATTAAATAAATGTCATGAGCATGTACCTAATGCTGCTATGGAAATTCAGATTATTAGTTTGATATTTAAAAAGTGATATTTTTAGTAATATAATTACCTACCTGGCTAGATGCGTATGGACGAGCGTTGTTTTCTACAGTTATTTTGCTCCAGGCTTCATTTTTAATACGTAGTGACATGCCATCGGTCTCCTTATTTTCTACCGTAGCCCTATATTTTTTTTTAATTCGCAGAAAGCATTTTTTCTCAATCTGAGTAAATACATGCGTCTTGTTTTCCATTTTTTGTAAATTGAATTTCCCGCGAGATCAAAGTTAAGTAATCAAGATGTTTTCAAGTCTCAAATCTGATAAGTCAGTTTTATATTTGACACTGGCGCTGTGTCGCTTTAATGCGTCAGATTATTGGTACATATTGAATTAAGTTATAATCATTTAGTTCGTATATAGAAATACATACATAATAGTTTTAACAATTTAAGGTTTTCGAATGTAGAAAACAACTTTATAACGTGATACAGCTCTATTTCTTTAAATTTTATCAAAATTAAAATATTCAATAAATCTCATGATATAGCAAAAACGAAACGTGACAAATGATATTCTAACCTTCGGTGTATGTGGCGTAATAGATCACGAGATCAAGCCCTCAAGTCACAGAACAGTATTCCTAAGTACAGCATTTAGAGATACTGTTTTTATGTTTATTAACGATCTTAAGATGCCGATATCGTAATGAGGGCGTATCAAATGATTACACACTTGAGTTCGTCGTTGAGTAACGTTTATTAATTAATACGGGACATAGTAATCTATGGCACTCTCATACTATGTTCATTTATTTTGTCATCATTGTTTGCATACAACAGCCTTTACCATTATATTTACTTAGCGTTATTGCTTTCCTGACCTTACTGGTCATGTCATTTACATATTAAGAATGGGTATTGAGCCAGAAAATTATAGGTTACTATGAATTACGAAATCACCAAACATTGCACACGCAAATTAAGTTTGAACGCTAATGATTATAATTGATAACTAATAATAATATATTGATACTTCAACTTATGCGTTAGATTTTAAGCGATTTAATTCCGTCCTGTATGGTGCAGAAGTGCGGTGGTATTGTTCTTCAAGAAAGGCGACAAGACTCCCTTGAAGAACTTCAGACCAATTTCGCTTCTGAGCCGCGTCTTTGTGCTGTTTTCGAGAGTCATTACGAATCGTCTCACGCGCAGACTCGACGACTTCCAGCCTCCCGAACAAGCCGGTTTCCGAAAAGGCTTTAGTACCATAGACATACCCTTTGGCAGATTGTACAGAAGACCGAGGAATATAACCTGCCACTATGTTTTGCATATGTGGACTATGAAAAAGTCTTTGATTCCGTCGAAATTTGGGCGGTGCTGCAGTCCCTTCAGGCTGTCGGTGTTTTATACTTTATTTGTACAGAAGGGCTACGATGGCTATCCGAGTACAGAACCAAAGTACGAAACCTATCCAACTGCAGAGAGGTGTAAGACAGGGTGACGTCGTATCCCCGAAACTCTTCACCGCTGCATTCGAAGATGTTTTCAAGCTACTGGACTGGAAAGTATACGGTATTAACGTCAATGGCGAGTACATCACTCACCTTCGATTTGCCGACGATATAGTCCTTATGGCAGAATCGCTGGAAGACCTAAGCACTATGCTCAAGGACATCAATAGTGCCTCCCAACGGATATGTTTTAAGATGAATATGAAAAAAACAAAGATCATGTGTAACTTCCATGTCAAACCTATGCCGCTAGTAGTTGGGAGCACTAAGCTCGAAGTTGTTGACGCGTATGTTTAACAGGGACAAATAGTCCGACTAGGTAAGTCCAACTTCCACCAAGAGGTCAATCCACGGATTCAACTCGGCTGGGCAGCGTTCGAGAAATTACGACACATCTTCTTATCAGGTTTACCTCTAAACTTGCAAACGAAACTGTACAACCAGTGCGTGTCGCCAATGATGACTTATGGATCTGAGACGTGGTCCTTTACTGCTGACCGTATGAGGAAGCTCAAGATCGCTCAACGGGCTATGGGGATAGGGTTACCAGATGAAAAAATCAAAAGTCCGGAGAAAAGGCCTGATTTCCCGTGAAAAATCCTAAGATTTTTTCAGTTTGAGAAATTTCTCTCCAACGTACTTAAAAATTTAAAAAAAAAGTCAACATTATAGGTAGTTGCATCGTTCTTATGACAGCAGTGTCGCACACTCACTCAGTTCCACCCCATTGCGACGATTGGACTGTTTTAACCATACTCAACTCAAGTAAATCATCATCAATCAATCTCAATTTAAAGTGAAATATATGCTTTAACCGTTTTCAAGAAAATAATAGGTATTTCACAATTACCAAAGACAATGCTTATTTGTCAAGATATATTTGCAATTACAGCCCAGAATGCAAACGTAGAAAGATTTTTGTCTGTTATGGGGGCTCAATGGTCGAATGAAAGAAACCGACACACGGTGTCTTCAGTTCGAGCTATACTTTTAATTCAATATACATAATTGGAAGAGTTTAACATGTGGGCATTATATTATAAATCAATACTTAAAGAAAAAAAACTTTACTTAAAAAGATATCTTCACATATTAAATATGATAAGACTGTTTAAGTACCTACTTGGATAAATAAAATTTGATTTTTAATTGTGCAATTATTACCAAAGGAAGATTATTTTTAGTTTGTATTGAAAATTCTAAAAATCCTGAGATTTCAGGAGATTTCCAAAATCCAGCCGCAACCCCGAGAAGAGTCCAAAAATCCTGATATCTCAGGACAAATCCTGAGATATGGTAACGCCGATATGGGTGGGCCATGCGCGCGATTTCTCTGCGTGATAAACTTAGAAATGAGGATATCCGCTGTAGAACCAGGGTAACCGACATAGCCCAACAGATTAGTAAGCTGAAGTGGCAATGGGCCGGCCATATGGCTCAAAGAACCGACAACCGATGAGAAAAAAGGTTCTCGAGTCGCAGCTTCGTATCGGTAGATGAAGTGTTGGGTGAACACCCACTAAATGGAGTGACGACCTGGTAAGACATGCAGAAAGCCGATGGATGCAGGTGGCTCAGGAATATTTTTTGTGGCATTCCTTGAGGGAGGCCTATGTTCAGCAGTGGACTTGTGAAGGGCTGTAATGATGATGAACCGTGCACATGCACGTGCGTGTTGGTGTTAGAAGCAAAGCCAGTCCGGATCATTACTGGAGCGTCGTCTTGGAATCGTTCCTCGTCTGTAGCCTGATGTTGAATGAAGGTGGAAACGGCCTCATTACGATCCACGCCACGCTTGTCTTCCACGTAATTGTACCACTTCAAACGTAATTCCTCTAAGTCGGCGGCCAAATCCTTTTCTTTTGTGCTTGGTTTTTGTGTCACTATTTCCGCTGCCTCAATGGGTCGTGTCGTTTTCATGATCTTGTCAGCTAACTCTGCCAGTTTGTCTAGTTGCGTAATCGAGGTTACAGCTAATACTGCTCTAACTGATGTAGGTAAATATTCCGTCCACATCATTCGGAGTGTTTCGTCGGGTAATTTTTCTTGCCAAATCCTTCATTTTTATTTCTAATTTCGATGGTTTTTGGTCACCTAATTCCATTTCAGAATAACCTCTGGAATTGTTTGTTCTCAGACTCTGCATAAACGATCATGAGCATGTTCTTCAGCATGTCATAGCACTTGGTTTCTGGAGGAGCTAGTAGGACGTCACTTGCCTGTTCCACATTGTATTTGGTGAGTTTGGTCACGAGTAGGTTGAACTGGTTTTCATCGGCCAAATTTGATTTGCAACAACGGCTTCAAATTGCACGAACCGGAGCCTGGGCTGGTCACTCCAGAACGTAGGTATCCTGGAGGTCAGGGATATTGTTGACATTTCCTCAATTTCTGTACAGTTGCTTTTAATTTGCACTGAATGTATTTAACGTTCACCAAATATTAATTAAATCGCCTACACCAATTCTTAAATGTAGGAGTCACGTGGGGGTCACCAGTGTGATTTAGCCCTTATTGTCGCCTATAGGTGTAGGTGCTAAATAATCCAAAGTCTATTTGTATAACACTGTATTTTTTCCACTCGGTAACCACTGCCTATTCGGACCGAGGCGAGGGGCTAACTGCCATCCCGGCGTTGAACCGTTGCACAGTATTACGATAATGTAACGTGATCCCTTACAATTCTATTATGTTTGTAACCAATTACTTCCCTCGCAATTATTACGATGTAATATTTTTTGTTACATTGGACTTAATTGAGTTTTGTAAAAATCCAATCTATGATTGGCAATTTGTGGTGGTACGCGCTCTTAAGAATATTAAGAAATATTCTTAAGAGCGCGTATAAAAGAAATAGACTATTAAGAAATAGTCATGTCTATCTCATCAGTATTTAACTTAATATTATATTATAGTGAAACTCATCACAGTGAGTGCCCCTGACTGATTTGTATACGTTAGTAATACAACCAACGCCATCTATTAATATAATAATAGTAATTATAGTTTTCTCATATCTGGGAACTGGTTCAAAGCATAACTGAAATTGTAATTAATAATTTCATTGGTGCCGGCTGGGATCCAACTTGGATTATACGAATACATACTATGAAATTTACTCGTAATAAAGAAATACTTTAAAAATATAAACACAAATAGAGAAAACTGAAACTATAAAATGAATTGAAAGAAAAAAAATACTTACCGACTTTGACAGTATCCCTGCGGCATACAATTGTAAAAAACACTACACATTCAAATAAAACTAGTTTTTACGGTTTATAACGCGTATATTAACTTATTTTATACACTCGACCTTTCGAACACTTTACAACATGGTCACGGAGGGTGGGGGGTGGGGGGGGGGGTTGACACACTGAGAATTTTGACGTCTCAATGTCATATTTAACCATGGCTACCTCCAGATTAAAATTACTAATTTTTAGTCCGATCTACGCAATATAAAGATATAAGGAGGACAAATATTATTAAAATGGTTATTCATATCTTAACGGCATGCAAATAATTCAAATATATATATAAAAGGCAGTTATTTCGATATTGCAGGCTAACACTTCAATTTGATTTGTGTGTATTAGGTATAATATATTAAATTATTATGACTAAAAATAAATTAGCATCATAAACAATGCTCATATGGAAGTCATGATTTTTTATAGCATTTACCCGTAACAACTTTTATAAAAACTATAAATCATGCACGGAATGTAGTAAGAACTTAATAAAAATAAATGTAAATAAGTAAATCTTACCTTATATGCTCTTGGTAATTGCCTGTCTCCAAACAAAGATAATGAACATAATATTTACTTGTTCTTGCTTTTATTTCTGTAACAGGTAAATTAAGTAAACTAAGAACAAGAACAATGTGATCTTACTAATATGCGATATTATATTATATCTTAAATATAAATTGTATTTTGTGCCTTAATGATTTCCTTTATAAATAATAATCTTGATGTACCTATTTGGGAAGTACTCATAAAACAAGTTTCATTCCAATAGAAGCAAATACAGTCTATAAAAAATTCTATCTAATACGATGGAAGTAAGAGCTCCAATTTAGAAGCGTACGCATCAGCCGCAAGTTCTATTAAATTACACTAGAACTACAATAAATCAGACGTATGCTGAGCAAAGAGCAGGTAAAATATTTTCTGTTTTTGGTGTCACAGAAAAAACTTAATGCCATAGTTACGGTAATGAAAGATCGTTTATTAATATATGACAAGTGATATTTAAGCTAGTCATTTCTGCTTGTCAGTGTTAACCTAGTAATATAATATTCAATTTCATCATATTCTTTACCTATATCTCCTGTCCCACAAGATTGTTACGTAACATCAGTAAGAGCTCTATGCCACGCAATAGTAGTAGTCCTGTAGTCCCGTGGGTGCCATGAGAGGCGTCTGTGGGAAACGCCATTAAAATCTAATGGGCACCGTTATGGCGGTATAAACAACATAAGCATTCCGCATAATAGGATTAATGTAGAATATATGGTAAAGAGAAGCAGTATCGAGGGCTTGAGAATTTTGGTTTTGAATTTTTTGGAAGAGATCGGAGTCCTACAGTAAACTTTTTACTGGCTTATAAAAATAATAAATATTACTAGTTTTATAAAAAAAAACTTAAGTGTTTAATATAATATCATATTGAGAAAAACCGTTTACGGCGACTCTCGATTCATCTATTCGAGAATCTAAAAAAATCCCGGACGAGAACAGCACGACGAGGGGAAGATTAAAAATCGGTCAACCCGCAGACACAATGAAAATGTTTTACGGAGGCCGTTTCCAGTCACAGATCGTGTTTGTAAAACGAAGTTCATATTTTTGCTATATGCAATTCTCTGCGAGTTTTTTATGGTTGAAAATATGCTTTTGTATTTCGGACACAGGCAGCTGAAATAAAAGAATTTTAACTTCTTTTTTTATAGCTATTACTTCAATGTTTGTCCTTCCATCCAGGATAATGTTGCCATGTCAACAAAGTTTCATCAACAGCGTATCTATACAAATAAATAAAATTGAAGTGTCTGTTTGTAATGTCAAAATTACAGCTTTTTACTAAATGCATATGGAACTACGGTACTAATAACAAAAATACAATTTTTAAAGTTTTTGTCTGTCTGTTTGTCTGTCTACCCGTCTGTCTGTCTGTTTGTTCCGGCTAATCTCCGAAACGGTTGCACCGATTTTGACGGGATTTTCACTGGCAGATAGCTGATGTCACAAGGTAACGTAGGCTAATTTTATTTTAGAAAGAGAATTAGGGTACCGCGCAAAAAAATTAAATTCCCAAATAACACGCGGGCGAAGTCGCGGAGAACAGCTAGTTATAATATATAATCGCTACCGTTACAGTCTATCAAAAGTCAACTGTTGAACTTGACCTCCTCATAGACTGCCTTATGTTACCACGCTGGACAAGCGGTTTGGCAAACGCAGTTTTTTTATTTTTTTATTGTTATTTGGAAGACGCTGATACCTATCTCCTGGGTTGTTTCCCTCTTGCGACACCCACGGGACGGGATATGGGGTAGTGGATTTTCTTACACCACCACTACACCGTCAGTATAGTATTATATAATATAAGACTATAATTAATTACTAATAATGATAATTTAAATAATTTTATGCCGTTTTTTTAAGAATAATAGTGACAAAGGAGCACACCGTCTACCTGATGGTAAGTGGATGCGCATACACATTTACATCTATCCTCCATTAAGAATCAAAATGAAGATGTGAAATGCCGCCTGGTTTCCAGTAGAAAGGGTCTCCGGTTCTCTTAACTCACACTAGTATTCTGTGAGGGCGTGTCCCTTCCCTGGTTGAGCCGACCCGTTCGTGCTATAACCAAAATATAGCTGCAGCGTGGCACTACCACGTATTGGTACCACTCTGGTACACACACACACACACACACACACACACACACACACACACACACATACACACACACAAACACGCGCGCGCGCGCACGCACACACAACATTATAACGCATAAAATAAAATAATATCGTTTCAATACTAAATTCCATTATAAATATTATATTATATTAAATACTTTTATAAGTGTTTGACTGAGACGTAGAAATTTGGCAAACTGACATCAATACAATTTTAGTGGGTGTTAGTTAACTTGATGTAATAAATTGATACTTTCTTACAACTATAATTAAACTTCCTGGCATTTTAAAAACCAATTAACACTGGTCGTAATTTTGGTTTCTACGTCCGTTAGTGTCAATGTCAGTCATTTTATTTTTAATGATGGCTTTATACAGGCCAGCCTCAACGGAGACTAGCCATCAGCGCAGGACAGGATTATTGTTCCCAAATGTATGGCCGAGCACAGGTGCACTCACTATTCCCTCAGTCTCATAGTCCGATGGGACGGTAAACCGACACGATCGGAGAGAGACCAACGACTGTACGTGCTTTCCGAGGCACGGAGGTGAAACACCGTCAACTTTCTGACTCCGGGCAGCTACTGAGAATTCCTTGACGGAAAAGCTCAACAACTGTTTATTTTTTTTGAAGAAAAAAATAACAAAGAAATAACACACGAGATACATATGTACCTCGGAATATGTAATATAAAGAAATACTTTTTTATTATTGGTACAGGCAAGCCTGCACCAAAGATTTCCTTATAAAGAAATGTGAATCTTAATCTACATTCAGAAGCAGTCTGCAGCAAAAATTACCTTCATTTTACTTTTCCACTTCTCCACTTTATCAGCACTCAAAAATGCAAATAATAATTTTGTCAGTGCCAGCGAGGATCAAAGTTGGGTTCTAGCATATAGTCCCTAAGCTTCGACGTTTAATTAAAATACACTTTATTTTCTACTTTTATTTTTAGCGCTGTGAAGATATTAAAAAAAATGTTGCCATATATTATACACCACCCTTCATAATGTGCGAGGAAAATATTGTGTACCTTTTTACACTTTTCCTTGAAAATTTTCTCTTTAAATGGTTTAATAT